AAATGAGAGGTGGTTGGAAGAACTGAATAGCATTTGTAGGGCAGGCACTCAAAAATGGTATGCCTTCCCCAAATGCACTTACAAGCACCACCTGTGGCATTGCCTCTTAGAGAAACAGACCTGTGAGGCTCCTGTCTGCATCACTCCTACCGTGTTTCCCCGAAAATAAGACCTACCCATAAATAAGCCCTAGCAGGATCTCTAATCATTTGCGCAATAGCGCACCCGTACCGAATATAAGGCTAGTGATGGGCGTGGCTACGCAGCTCATCTGCACAACCCATGCATATCTCTTAAGAGATATGCATGGGTTGTGCAGATGAGCTGCGTACCACGCCCATCACTAGCCTTATATTCGGTACGGGTAGCCTATTGCGCAAATGATTAGAGATCCTGCTAGGGCTTATTTTATGGGTAGGTCTTATTTTCGGGGAAACACGGTAGGAGTGATGCACAGACAGGAGCCTCACAGGTCTGTTTCTCTAAGAGGCAATGCCACAGGTGGTGCTTGTAAGTGCATTTGGGGAAGCATACCATTTTGAGTGCCTGCCCTACAAATGCTATTCAGTTCTTCCAACCACCCTCTCATTTAATTTCTTTCTATTTATAGTAGAGACGGGGGTCTCGCTCTTGCTCAGGCTGGTTTTGAACTCCTGACCTTGAGCAATCCGCCCACCTCGGCCTCCCAAGAGCTAGGATTACAGGCGTGAGCCACAGCGCCCGGCCTGAACTTCTTCATTTAAATGAGAGGGTGGTTGGAAGAACTGAATAGCATTTGTAGGGCAGGCACTCAAAAATGGTAATGCCTTCCCCAAATGCACTTACAAGCACCACCTATGGCATTGCCTCTTAGAGAAACAGACCTGTGAGGCTCCTGTCTGCATCACTCCTACCGTGTTTCCCCGAAAATAAGACCTACCCATAAAATAAGCCCTAGCAGGATCTCTAATCATTTGCGCAATAGACGCCCTACCCCGAATATAAGGCCTAGTGATGGGCGTGGCTACGCAGCTCATCTGCACAACCCATGCATTTCATGGGGAGCGGTAAAGAAGACGAGCAGCCCTTCTCATCTGCCCCATGAGAGCTCTGTTGCTCCACATGAGAGATTGGGGCCAATGGTTCTAAAGGAAATAGAGTCACGAGAAATTCAGGATGAAATTCGGGGTTTGGAGAGTTAGGATGATGTTCCAGAAGAAGATGACTTAACTATATTTGAATCAATGTAGATTGTTGTACCGTACTTTAAAAAATAACACATCCCCTGAAAATAAACCCTAGGGTGTCTTCTTAAGGAAAAATAAATATAAGACCCTGTCTTATTTTTGGGGAAACATGATATCACTTACATAATGTAGATGGAAACTGCCCTCCCTCCGCCTGCCTATGCTCGACTCCAGGCTTACCTGCACGGTTATAATCGGCCCTCCATTCTGATAAAGGAGACGCTTCATTTTGGGCAGAAGAACTCCCAACCACTTGTCCACAGCTGCAAGGTAATCTGAAAAATGAGAGGTTTAACACCGTCACAGACCTTTTAGTACAAAGAGGCACCAACCCAACCACATCACACTGGGATCAAGATCTACGGACTCAACAACTACTTTCCAAAGTGGGGCAGCCACACACGACAGAAGTCTGATAAACGTCTTGCAAAGTCGTTGTCTCCTCAGCTGACCCAGTATGCGGGCAAGGACCAGCATGCCTGGCATCTGTCCGCTATGGTAATATCTGTCTCCTCCAAAACTCATGCTGAAACTTAACACCCAACACAGCAATGTTGAGAGGGAGGGCCTTTAAGAGGTGATTGGGTCATGAGAGTGGAGTGGATTAATCCACTCGTGGTGAATGGATCAGTGGGTTATCACAGGAATGGGACGGGAGGCTTTATAAGAGGAAGAAGAGAGGCCTGAGCTAGCACACTCAGGACTCTGCAGAGAGTCTCCACCAGCAAGCGGCTCCCATCAGATACAGCCCCTTAACCGTGGACTTCTCAGCCTCCATAACTGTAAGAAATAAGTTCCTTTTCTTTATAAATCACCCAATTTCAGGTATTCCGTTATAAGCCATTGACCTCACCACAGGACACAAAGCCTGGAGCACAGGAGGCATCCAAGCAATGTCTGTTGAACAAAGAAAAGACTGAAGATCGTGTCCTTCCATCAGTCCCAGTAGGGCTTTTTTCTTTTTAAAATTAAGTTACAATGAATTACATATATTGCCAAATGGGAATAATAAAAGTACATTATATAAAATTGCCCTAAGGATTAAATGAGATAATACATGTGAAAACACTAATAATATACTAAGAGTATAAGATGTGAAGGTCACAGAGTAAGAAGGAAATATAGTGTGTAGTACACTAGCCTTTTATGCAGGAAACTTAACCAATGTTAGCTGCTGCTACAATCATCTTCACTACCTTCCCCACTTCTACCACCACTGCCACTCCCAAGAGAAACTGAAGTCTTCAGAAGACAGAAATGCAGTTAAACAAGACCTTCCGACTGATGAGAGTTTACTAGCTGAAATACTCTCTAGTGATTCAAAAAGACAAGGGAAAAAACTGTCGTTCACACACATCACTCTGTGAAAGCAGACAAAGAAGTAGAAGGGCACTGCAGCCACCAAGCACTCCAGCGACACACTATCCCAGACGCTGTGTCCGCCATTCCGACTAGCTAGGTGCTAGCACGGGCGTGTGACACGCTAAGTATGTAGGAAGAGAATGCACCGAAGTCAGCCGGTCAACCACAGACGGGGCTCGATGCCAATTCAAAGAGCTACCAGTTTATCGGCAAGATCTGGTCAAGGAGTTCAAGAAAACCTTATTTCCTACTGGTTTCATGTCTGGTGCTACGCAGTGGACGGTGACTAACACTCAGACTTTCACTAATCTTTCAGAAGCATTCGTACAGAAGTACTCCAACCTTCAAAATACCTGACCCTCTTGGTGTAAACTGTCTAAGCCAGGGGTCCTCAAACTTTTTAAACAGGGGGCCAGCTCACTGTCCCTCAGACCGTTGGAGGGCCAGACTATAGTTTAAAAAAAGCTATGAGCAAATTCCTATGCACACTGCACATAACTTATCTTGAAGTAAAAAAAAAAAAAAAAAAAAACAAGCGGGCTGTAGTTTGAGGACGCCTGGCTAAGCTTTTGTAGATTCTCTCAAGACATCTGTTAACAGCTTACCTGGGTCAGAGGAGCGAAGAACAATAGATTCCTTCTCTAACAGCCAGGCAGGCAATCCTCCCTAGGACGGAAGGGAAAATAGGCCATCATAACGTCCATTTCACGAAAGGAGCTCAGGGGAGACAGAAATGACTATTAGCAGTGATGGAAACGAAGAAAAAGCTTCAGGGAAAATGGGTATTTGAGCTGGGCTTCTGCATTAGTAACTTTCAGAGAAATTAGAGATTGTAATGTAGTAAAACTAGATCGTTCTGCATGAATGCAATGATTTGGGAAGCTTTTTATATAGATTATTCCCCTTAATTTCACAACTACCCTGTGAGGTACACAGAGCAGACCCCATTCACTGTCTCGTACAGACGAGGAAACAATTATGTGGTGACCTTCAGGAGGAGAGCACCTGTTCCCCTCTGCCTGGGCACCTTGCTCAGGTAGCAGACACCTGTGCTGGGGATAGTCACAGGCTCTCTGTTATCTGGAATTAGAGCTTCTGTAAATTGTTTTAACTCCCTCCGCCCCAGAGCCCCTGCCCACCAGCCCACCCGTGCACGCTCACCAGGTAGGCGGAGCCCCGCCGGGCCACACTCACCATGTCCCACTCCGCGCAGATGTAGGGCCCAGGCCTCAGGATAACCAGCAGGCCCACGTCCTGAGCCAGCTGAATGAAGTGTTCCACGTCATGGTCCCCAGCAAACTGGTACTTCTCCGGCTGGGGCTCGTGAAAGTTCCAGGGCACATACCTGCAAGACACCCACAGCCCCTCCGTGGACACCGGGCAAAGTCAAGAAGAAGGGGCCTCCTTAGCACTGTTGCTAACACACAGAGAAGAGGGAGGAGTGGGAAGAGGCTTGTTGAGAAAAATTATCCAGGCACCTCAGTCTCGCCTGCTACTTCTCCACCCCGCCCTTCCAACCGGGGCTCAGACTGCCTGGGCGCGCTGGGGGCATGCGCGCTATGAAGGCTCTGCAGAATGCGCTGAGCCTGGGCTGGCGGGCAATGACTGCCGACGGGGAGGCTGGGGTCACCTGAGCTGGAGCCCCCTGCTTGGCGGAGGCGTCCGGCACCTGCTCAGTGAGGCCAAGGCGCAGGGCAGAGGGATGCCCAACAGCCACCAGCCACAGCACCAGGATCATGATTCTTCAGAGAGTGGCATGCTGTCCCGCCTGGGTGATTTGCTTTCCTTTTTTTATTTATTTATGTATTTATGTATTTATTTATTTTTTTTGAGACAGAGTCTAACTTTGTTGCCCAGGCTAGAGTGAGTGCCATGGCATAAACCTAGCTCACAGCAACCTCAAACTCCTGGGCTCAGGCGATCCTGCTGCCTCAGCCTCCCAAGTAGCTGGGACTACAGGCATGCGCCACCATGCCCGGCTAATTTTTTGTATATATATTTTTAGTTGGTCAATTAATTTCTTTCTATTTATAGTAGAGACGGGGTCTCGCTCTTGCTCAGGCTGGTTTTGAACTCCTGACCTCGAGCGATCCACCCACCTCAGCCTCCCAGAGTGCTAGGATTACAGATGTGAGTCACCTCGCCCGGCCTGATTTGCTTTTCTACACCGTTGCTGAGGGACAGGAACAAATCCCTATCCACACGTTCACTACGGCACTGAAGGCCACCGGACTGCAGACAACAGCTCCCCGGCTCCGGGACCGTATGAGTCAGATGCGCCACATGGTCCAAGAATCCAGCAGTGGTGGCCTTGTAGATCGAGATCCCTTCCAAAACTGTGTGAGCAGCAACATTTTACTCCTGACCCAGGCATTCCGAAAGAAGTTTGCTATTCCTGATTTTGAGGAGTTCACAGGCCATGTGGATCGCATCTTTGAGGGTGCCAAGGAGCTCACTGGAGGCACAGTGGCAGGCTGCATCCGTCAGCTGGCCAAGTCCAACTCAGACCTGCGGGGTGTCTCCCTGTGCACTGTGGACGGTCAGTGGCACTCTGTGGGCCACACCAAGATCCCCTTCTGCCTGCAGTCCTGTGTGAAGCCCCTCACCTGCGCCATCCCCATACGCACCCTGGGCACTGACTATGTGTCCAAGTTTGTGGGCACAGAGCCCAGCAGCCTGCGCTATCACAAGCTCTCCCTCGATGAGGAAGGAACTCCCCATAACCCCATGGTCAATGCTGGTGCCGTGGCCGTCAGCTCCTCGATCAAGACGGACCGTAACAAAGCGGAGAAGTTTGATTTTGTGTTGCAACATCTGAACAGAATGGTGGGGAACGAACACGTGGGTCTCGGCAATGCCGCATTCCAGTCAGAGAAGGAAGCCGGAGATGGGAATTGTGCCATTGTCTGTTATCTCGAGGAAGAGAAGCGCTCTCCTAAGGGGGTGGACATGATGGCTGCCCTTGATCCCTACTTCCGGCTGTGCTCTGTGGAGGTCGCCCGTGAATCAGGGAGCGTCATGGCGGCCACCCTCGCCAATGGCGGGACCTGCCCCGTCACAGGGGAGAGCGTGCTGGGCGCTGAGGCAGTAGGCAACACCCTATGCCTCGTGCATTCCTGTGGCAGGTACGACTCCTCTGGCCAGTCTGCCTTCCGTGTGGGCCTGCCAGCCACGTCAGCTGTGTCAGGAGCTATACTTCTGGTGGTACCCAATGTCGTGGGAATGGTGTGGCTGTCACCCCCATTGGACAAGCTGGGGAACAGCCAGAGGGGCATTAACTTCTGCCAGAAGTTGGTGTCTCTCTTCAACTTCCACAACTATGACAACCTGCGTAAGTTAGACCCGAGGCATGGAGGGGGAGAAGTTCAGAATAAGACTGTGGTGAGGCCAGGCACGGTGGCTCACGCCTGTAATCCTAGCACTCTGGGAGGCCAAGGCGGGCAGATTGCTCGAGGTCAGGAGTTCGAGACCAGCCTGAGCAAGAGCGAGACCCCGTCTCTACTACAAATAGAAAGAAATTAATTGGCCAACTAATATATACAGAAAAATTAGCCGGGCATGGTGGCACATACCTATAGTCCCAGCTACTCGGGAGGCTGGGGCAGGAGGATGGGTTGAGCCCAGGAGTTTGAGGTTGCTGTGAGCTAGGCTGACGCCACGGCACTCACTCTAGCCTGGGCAACAAAGCGGAGACTCTGTCTCAAAAAAAAAAAAAAAAAAAAAAGACTGTGGTGAACCTGTTATTTGCTGTTTATGGTGGAGATGTCCCAGCTCTTCGAAGATCTGCCTTGTCGGCCACAGATATGGAACAGAAAGACTGGGACTCCCGCACAGCTCTGCATGTTGCTACAGCTGAAGGACACACTGAAGCTGTTAAATTCCTGATTGAGGCTTGCGAAGTGAATCATTTTGTCAAGGAGAGGTGGGGCAACATTCCCCTGGATGATGAGCTGTGCAGTTCAACCACCTGGAGGTGGCCAAACTCCTTCAAGATTACCGGGGCTCCTGCACACTCTCTGAGACTCAGGCTGAGGCAGCAGCTGAGGCCTTGGCCAAGAAGAACTCAGAGAGCATGGTGTGAGCACTGGTTGTGGACAGTCCCTGCTTGAGAAAAAGCCTGAGGTGGCCACACACTTAACCTATAGCCACCAAAAATGCTATGGAGAGCTACACTGCTTCAGTGGGGACCCAAGAAAGTCATTTGGTGACTTAGGCCATTGCTTTCTGTGAGAGTCAAAATACCCTATTCCCTCAGCAGACAGAGTCTGGAGAGATGAGCCCCCACTTGGCCAAGACATACTGCTGCTACTGCTAACAGCTATTCTATAGACAAAGTATTCTGTGTTCAATTAAACTTTAATTACACAAATAAAAAAAAAAGAAAAGAAAAGTTATCCAGAACTTGGAAATAAGGCAAAAGGCTGATTGCATTTCCCTTCCATGTTATATTGGAGGACTGTCCAACAAGCTCACCTAAGGCTTCTTTCATTTCCTGGGAGAAATATGTTGACTGACTTACTGTTTACTATTAATTAGGGGAAAGACTCCAAAAGTACAGATTAATTTGTAGATTTTCACCTGGTAGAGGTACAAATGATTATTTTTATATGGAGAAGACAACAACTCCAAAGGTTACTTTCCTTTTTCTTCTTTTTTTTTTTGAAGACAGTCTTACTCTGTCGCCCTGGGTAGACTGCAGTGGCGTCATTATAGTTCACTGTAACCTCAAACTCCTGGGCTCAAGCAATCCACCTGCCTCTGCCTTCCAAGTAGCTGGGACTATAGGTGTGTGCCACCACGTCCAGCTAACTTTTTTTTTTTTTTTCTATTTTTAGTAGAGATAGGGTCTTGTTCTTGCTCTTGTTCAGGCTGGTCTCAAACTCCTGAACACAAGTGATCCTCCCACCTTGGCCTCTCAGAGTGCTAGGATTACAGGCATGCGCCACCATGCCTGGCCCCAAAGTTATTTTCATACATTCTTTTTTATGATATTGACCAGTTTTTCTTTTGTTTTTTAGAGACAGGGTCTCTGTCACCGAAGGTGTAGTGGCATGATCGTAGCTTACAGTAACCTCGAACTCCTGGACTCAAGGGATCCTCCTGCCTCAGCTTCTGGAGTAGCTAGGGCTACAGGCACATACAACCATGCCTGGCTAATTTTTAAAAATTGTTTGTAGTGACCATGTCTCACTATATTGCTCAGGCTGGTCTCCAACTCCTAGCCTCAAGCGATCCTGCTGGCTCAGCCTCCCAAAGTTCTGGGATTACAGGAATGAGCCCCTGTGCCTAGCCAGTTTAATCTCTACAGACAGATTTATTTCAGCATGCCTTTCCTGGTTGACTATAAACCTTCCTTCCTCAAATTCCCCTTTGAATCAGCTTTACTATTTGGATAGTTTCCTCTGTAAAGAGCTAAATAAATTTTGACACGTTTACTATGTATGTGTTTATAAGTCAAGTGTTAAGCTTTTTATAATTATGCTATGTGTAAATAATTGGATTGAAGTCCTATGTGGAAAATAAGAGTAAATTGTTCAAAATTCCAGACCTCCTACATGAATTTCTGAACTGTCTGTAGAACCACAGACCCATAGGACATACACACCTTCCCCTTTGGCAGCCTCTCGGGAAGAGGCCTTGTTATAAATTTTCATAGCAGCTCTGCAAGCTAATTAAACTTGGTGGGGATAGTTTAAGAACAGACATATATACCAATGGTGGCACATTAACATGAAAGTTTACCAAAACAACCTTTACAGAAACTGTGTGCCATGACAGAAAAGAAACTCAGTACAAAAAAAAAAAAAAAACCTCAGTACAGTGTAAACTTGCAAAAAGAAAAAAAAAAATTACATGAACACTGATTCCTAGTACATAACAATTATATAGACCTGTGCAAGGCTTAGGAAAAATGAAAATAGCTTGCTAAAGCAGTAAGAGGTATCTTTATTTTTTGAAAAATAATTTCTAATAAAAGTAGAAAAACCTCCAACCCCTCTGTCCTTTTGTCAGGCATAGCCTGGCAGGAGAGAAAATGACAAAACCTCCTACCTACAGCATGGGATACTACTTGATATGTGAAGCCACTCATTCCCATCACAACTGTCTCTTTGAAGACTCCAACTTGTGTCCTTTTTCATGATCCCATGATTTCAGGGTCCCCCGGAGCTCAGTGCAAAACTACAAACAGGTAAACTCAGGTTCACTCTGCCGGTGGCCTTGGAACCAGAATCCTAAGCGGGATTCTCCCTGTCTGTCTGTCTCAGTAAGCTGCCTCTGAGTCTCCTTGACCATTCATTCATTCATTCATTTATTGATTGATTGATTGATTGAGACAGAGTCTCACTCTGTTGCCCAGGCTAGAGTGAGTGCCGTGGCATCAACCTAGCTCACAGCAACCTCAAACTCCTGGGCTCAAGCAATCCTTCTGCCTCAGCCTCCCAAGTAGCTGGGACTACAGGCATACGCCACCATGCTCGGCAAATTTTTTCTATATATTTTTAGTTGACCAATTAATTTCTTTCTACTTTTAGTAAAGATGGACGGGGTCTTGGCTCAGGCTGGTTTTGAACTCCTGACCTCGAGCCATCCGCCCGCCTCTGCCTCCACAGAGTGCTAGGATTACAGGCGTGAGCCACCGCGCCAGGCCGCCATCCTCTTTAAAGCTGTTGACAATCCACATCAGCAACTGCAAGAACCAGAGCATCCAGCTTTCTTTCCAGTTACTTACAAGAGCAGAAGAGAAGAGAGACAGCTAGTGAGGCAATTCTATACTCTGAGGTTGTACAATTACCCCAGCAACACAAAGATAAATTGGGTTTGGATCTACCTAAATCTAAAGCCATGTCACTCGGAATGTGCCGATCACGCCTAATCTCAAAAGCTGAGCAAGGTCACGCCTGGTTAGTATACCGCACGAGGGAAGAATCTAAGGACAGCCTTATTCCCTTCCTGGGACTCAGAAAACAATACCCCAAAATGTGGCCTTGGCGCGCTGAGTACTTTGCACCAAAGGAGATTAAATGGCTTCAGAAGCAAAGTTTCTCTCTTGGACCTTCCCTACCCTCCTGACCCCCATCTCCTCTTCTCCCCCAAAGCAAGTCATAGAAACCAAGATTCTCCTTCCCCAAGGCAGGTCATAGAATCTAGAACCCCTGTCCCTAAAGCAAGCCATAAAATCCAGAAAAATCACTGTCTCCCTTCTTCCTTGGAGACCCTCATTCCACAGGGGTCTTGTGCTATACCCAGGGGAAGGACTACTATCTAGAGAGGCCAAAGAAGAGTGTCAACAGACAGGCCTGGCTCGGTTTCCCCAGCAGTTTGTTACCATGAGCTCACACCCTTTTGTCCAATCACGTTTTACATGGCTACCCATTCTTCATCAAACCTAAGCACAAAAACAGTTTCCCTGGGTCTTTGGGTCTTCATTCTAAAGGCTCTTGCATCATGTCAACTTTGATTAAATAAATTTGTTATGCTTTTCTCTTGTTAACCTTGCTTTTGTTATAGGAGTGTCAGCTATGCTCCTTATGAGGGTGACAGAAAGTATCCTATCCTTTGGCCGGGTGTGGTGGCTCACACTGTAATCCTAGCACTCTGGGAGGCGAGGCGGGAGGATCGCTCAAGGTCAGGGTCCGAGACCAGCCTGAGCAAGAGCGAGACCCCATCTCTACTAAAAATAGAAAGAAATTAATTGGCCAACTAAAAATATATACAAAAATTAGCCGGCATGGTGGTGCATGCCTGTAGTCCCAGCTACTCGGGAGGCTGAGGCGGTAGGATTGCTTGAGCCCAGGAGTTTGAGGTAGCTGTGAGCTAGGCTGATCCACGAACTCACTCTAGCCTGGGCAACAGAGTGAGACTCTGTCTCAAAAAAGAAAGTATCCCATCTTTCTACCTCTACACCCTGGGAGCTGAGAGAAGCTATGGCTGTCTACAGCCACCACTTAGGCTACAGCCGCCCACGTGCCTTACGTTCAAATCCTAGCTGGACCCGATCAAAGACATGAGCTTGGGCAAATTTCACTTTCACCAGCTATACACGCGGAACGCAATACCTACCCCAGAGGAATGGAATCGTTCCTGTAAAGTGCCCTGCGCCTGGTAAAGTGCTCGATCCTTGCTACTTCCCTTTCCTTTCCTCCCTCTTGCCTCTTTCAGCTGACATATATCTATTTTATGACTTCTGGTGACAAAATTCAAGATTGGAAGGCAGTGGTTGTCCAAAGGAGGGCCAGTCTGACCAGACCTATGACACGCCCTCCCAGAACGCCACGCTGGACTAGCTCCCGTTTCTTTCTTTTCTTTTCTTTTTTTTTACCGTATTATGAGGGTACATGTGTTAAGGTTACATATATTGCCCATGCCCCCATCCCCCTCGAGTCAGAGCTTCAAGCATGTCCATCCCCAAATGCTGCACATCTTACTCCGTGGTGGCTGAGCGATGCACTACTGCACTGGCATGCAGCTGTACCCCCTCTCTAGCGCGGTGCCCAGGCCCTGGAGGGGGCCACGCGCCCTGCTACTCACGTCTGGATGGCGTTCAGGTCCGGCCATCTTCATCTTCAGCAGCCGGTCCTTCCAGTAGAAGCGGGCACGCGGGAGTAGTGAATGCTCCCGGAGATGTAGGGAACGGCTGGCCGTCCTTGAGAAGCGGTCCGCGGCTGTAGTCGATCTTGAACGTCTTCTGGAGGCCATGCTGTGGACGGAGCAAGCACGGGACAGGTGAGGACGCCGCCCACCTTCTGCATTTCAAGAGCAGACCTCTGGCAGTGGCAGGTGACTCCCTGCCTGTTTAATCTGCACAACGTGCTGATGGAGTGAATGCCTGGTTCCTGGGCAATCAAAGTACTGCTGAGCCAGGTCCACCGTGTGGCACTCAGGTAACCAGAAACCAACCAGACAGGGAGGGATTCACGTACAGATTCTGTAGGGCTTTAGTTCAGAGCCCGGCCCCAATGTGACAGTCAGTGGCTGAGATTGCATTCCAGCGTGCCGTTCACGGCTGGGAAGAGAACACACACACACACACACACACGACGCACACGCAGCACGCACGCCGGCAGCAGGGGCTGTAACCTGCATCAGCACTAGGTGTGCTTCAACCACTAATGTCACCAGCTTCACCAAGACCCCATTAGTTAAACTCTAAGTGACCAGGAGTGGTGGCTCACCGCCTGTAATCCGAGCACTCTGGGAGGGCCCAGGCAGGAGGATCCACTTGAAGCCAGGAGTTGGAGACCAGCCTGGGCAATAGCGAGACACCATCTCCTTCCAAAAAATTTAAAGTAGGCTGGCCTGGGGTGCGATGTGCCTGTAGGTCCCAGGCCATACCTCAGGAGGCCTGAGGCATGGAGGACCACTTGAAGCGCCCTAGGACGTTTTTGAGGTTGCAGGAAGCTATGATGAATGCCACTGCAGCTGCAGGCCTGGCCACAGAGTGAGAGTCCTATCTTGAAAAGAAAGAAAAGGAAAGGAAAGAACAAGGGGAAGAAGAGGAAGGAGGAAGGGGGAGGAGGGAGGGAGGGAGGGAGGGACGGAGGGAGGGAAAGAAAGAAAGAAAGAAGAAAGAAGAAAAAAAAAGAAAGAAGAAGAGAAAAGAAAGAAAGAAAGAAGAGAGAAGGAAGAAAAGGCAAGGAAGGAAAGAGAACGAGAAGAAAGAGAAGAAAGAAAAGAAAAGAA